GCAACTTAACAAAGAAAAAATGGTATTTTGGCTCATAAATCAAGGGTACAGTCCATTGGGGGGGGGGGGAGTCAGGAGACTGGGAACTTGAAGCAACTGTTTACTTGGCATCCACAAAGCACTAACTACAGGCTACTCAGCTCCCCTTCCACTTGCAAACCCAAGACCCCAGCCAGGAATAGTGCCACCCAGAGGGGTGGATCTTCCCACCTAGATTCATGCAATTAAGACAATCCCCAAAGCACATCCAGAGGCCAGGTCTCTGGTGAGTCTAGACTATATCAAGTGGACAGTTAACACTAAACATCACAACTGACTTGTAAGGAGCACGTGGGTTGGTTACCGTGGGAAAGAGTGACAGAGAGAGGCAGAAAATAAAACAGTGTTGCCCTCTCTTCCTGCTTCGTGAGCATTTCATCCTCAGTGACACTTTGTTTACGGAGCTGGAAAGATGGCACAGAGGTTAAAACAAACAAATGCTCCTCCAGAGGAACGAACTTCCATCTCCCAGGGCCACACCATGTGGATTCTTAGCGAGGGTTATCAGTGCTGTGCTGAAGGGGTTTGTTTGCCTTCTGCCTCCACAGCACTGTTCATCCCTGAAAGAATCAGGACAGGAACCTGGAGGCCATGGAGGGGAGCTGCTGACTGGCTTGCTTCCCATGGTTTGCTCAGTCTGCTTTCTTATAGAACCTAGGACCACCAACCCACAATGGGCTGGGCCCTCCCACATCAACCACTAATTAAGAAATCCTCCACAGGCTTGCAGCCCAATCTTATGGAGGCATTTTCTTAATTGAGGTTCCCTCCTCTAAGATGACTCTACCTTGTGTCAAGTTGACATAAAGCTGGCCAGAACAGGCAGCTCACAACTGTAACTCTAGCTCCAGGGACCTGACACCTCTGGACTTCAAAAGCATGCACTCACATGTGCATACACACAAAAACACACACAATAGTCATAATTTAAAAATAAATCCTTTAAGTCGCTGTTCTTTGAGCACTATTGTGTGCAGATTCTCATATTAATTTGTCAATATTTTCAATGGAACTCTGTCCCTGAAATGATTTAACGTTTATTTTAATTACATTTGTGTGCGTGGTTGCTTGGCCTGCACTTACGTCTGTGCACTGCAGGGCCCACTCGGTCAGAGTAGGGTATTGTATAGTCTACACCTGCAGTTACAGATGGTTATCCACCATGTGGGTGCTGGAAAATGAACCTGCGTCCTCTGCAAGAGTGGCGTGTGATTTTCACCACTGATCCACCTCTCCAGCCCCACCCAACTGTTTTAAATGATATCCAAACATATACTTGAAAGTGTGCATGTGAACCAAAACTGGCATGCATCTTCCAAATGCTACTTTTTAAATGTTAAAAGTTTACTTCCAGTAACAGAGGGGTGACTGCATTAGTAAAATGTTTGCCTTTCAACCACAGGACATGAGTTTAATCCCCAGAACTCACGTAAAAAGAAATTCGAGTGTGATGGTATGTGCTTGTAATCCCAGCATTGGAAAGGCAGGGTGAGACAGGCAGATCTGCCAGCCTATTCTACTTGCTAAGTTCCAAGGCCAATGAAAGACCCTGTCTCAAAAAAAAAAATTTTTTTTCAAGACGGGGTTTCCCTGTAGCTTTGGTGCCTGTGCTGGATCTCGCTCTGTAGACCAGGCTGGCCTCGAACTCACAGAGATCTGCCTGCCTCTGCCTCCCGAGTGCTGGGATTAAAGGTGTGTGCCATCACCGCCTGGCTCTAGAAATTTTTAATTAAAAAACTTTTTGAGAATTTCATACATGAGTACTTTATTCACAACATTTCCACCCATCCTTCTTCTAGTCCCAACTCCGTCCATGTTATCCTCTCCTCAAATTAGTAACCTCTTCTCTAGTGTGTGTGTGTGTGTGTGTGTGTGTGTGCGTGTGTGTGTGTGTGTGTGTGTGTGTGTGTTCCATTTAGTGTTGCTGATGGCGAGGGGGAGCACTCCCCAGGAGGCTTGAGGCTTGTCCCTGGGAAAGCCAGATCCTCTCTATTTCAGCAGCTGTTAATTGCCTATATCTCTTCTTCTAAGGATTAGTCTGTGAATTTTTTATAATTTTTATATTACACTTGTGTGTGTATGTGTGTGTGTGTATATATATATGCATGCATGCATGCATGCGCGCGTGCGCCATAACACACATAGAGGTTAGAAGACAACATTCTGGGTTGTTTCTTTCTACCACGTGGGTCCTGGGAGTTGAACCCAGGTTGCTGGGCTCAGTGGAAAGCCCCTGTCTCACCAGCTCAAGAAGGAGATTTTTGGTTGTGAGCCTAGCCTTTAACGGCTGAGCCATCTCTTGGGCGATGGTGGTGCACACCTTTAATCCCAGCACTCGGGAGGCAGAGGCAAGCAGATCTCTGTGAGTTCGAGGCCAGCCTGGTCTACAGAGCGAGATCCAGGAAAGGTACCAAAACTACACAGAGAAACCCTGTCTCGAAAAAACAAAAAGGAGTTTATAAAGATGCAAAATATGCATGTGCCAGTTCTTCAGAAAGAATTCCACCTTCTGTGCCCTAACTCAGTTACCAAAGTAGGTGACTCGGTTGTCAGCCTGCTTGACTTCCTAGTAATCCTCCCTCCTGATGAAAGCAGAACATCTGCTCATTCCTCCGTCTACTTGCAAGAGTAAACGCTGGAGTAACACAGGCACTCAGCTCTCCTTCCTACACTGGTCTCCACAGGCCTGGACTATGTTAGCCAAGAGGTGTCATGAGCAGAAACCAAGAAGATTCTTTAGTGAGTTTATCCTCAAGGACATCTGTTCATCCTTCAGAAAGATTGTCACTAGGGAAAAGGGGGGTTAAAGTTACTTAACAAATTGCTTGAGACCATTGACTCCCAAGTCCCTCCAGAGTCATAGATTGGATTGGTTTTCAAGGAGAAGGAAGAATTGTAAGAGGAGCTCCCTGGGAAAGTTACAAATGGATCCTTACCTGGGCAACACTGGTTGGTGTAGCTGATCACTAAGGAGGAATGCCCAGTGGTAATAGAAAGTTAGGAAGTGAGAAGGAAACAGTTAACACTTGAGGAAAGGCTTAATGTGTTTGAAAATAGTTGTAGCCATGCATCTGAGGATGGACATTCAAAAGGAAGAAATACAGATTAAATACTCTGTCATCATGCCTGCAATTTAATAGTTATTACTGAACTGAGAGTGGATTGTCTACAGAAAAAGACAAACTTTTCATAAACCTACCCAGAGGCAGAGCCTCCTTCTGGAAATACTCATGGCATTTATTTGAAACAGATGTGTTTGAAGGTATCTAGATATTTGCTTGTATTTTCAGACTGTAACTACCTCCAAATCCAAAGGAATCCTTGATGGACATAATTTAACTTAGTAAAAAAAAAATGATATCAGCATGTTCCATGTGTTTTAAAAACCTGGTAATTTTACACACATACTGATGTAGTCAGACTTTTCCCCCTAAGAATTCCATTAACAATTATCAGAATTCATCCAGGCCCTTCAGGATTTACCAGTAAAACCTATACTCATCAATCCCTCCCACTGAATAAATTGAATTTTGCCAGAAATGCGTAAGCAAATAGAGAAATGACCTCATTTTTCAGTCTGAACACAGTGGCGTTGGAGAATATGTCTCCAGAGTATGACTTCAATATTGGTTCTTAATTCCAAGCACAGGTTCACAAGGCCAGAGAAGAGGGGGGTGAGGCCCTCCTTGGGAAGGCACCTGTGAAGAGATGAGTTCTTGGGCAGGAGCAGCTCCCACAGCTAAGTCGCATGCACACACTGTAGCTTTCTGCTCTCTGGCCAACGGAGTGCAGCCATAGCATCTTTATTGTTATAACTCCCAGATTGTGATACTGTCACAAAGCTGTTGCTAGGCAACAAATGTGGTTACCAGGTCTCAGCGAATAGCTGAAGGGGGAAGGCAAAGTCTTGCACCATTGTAGAGTAACCATAGCAATGACCTACTATTACAGACTAAAGAATTATCATTAACAATGTTAAAGTATCAGAGGCCCTGAATTCGGAGACTTCCAAGCAGTATCTGCATAATTAAGTGATTGAGGACAAGATTCTGTTTCAAAGCTAACCACTCATAATTTCTATGGGGGGGATATTTGTAATTTTATTTTTAATTAAAAATTGATTATGAAGTTATTGGTTAAATTATACATGCTATCACAAATAGATTTTTTAAGCCCGGGTTATTCGTGTCTTCCCATGCCTACATGTTACTTATCGCCTTTATCAAACTGTAGGTTCCATTTGATTTGGAAAATAGTGTATAATATTCAACCTAAGCCCCAGTCAGAAGCTGTGGTAAAATAACCTGGTAAATTGAAAATCTACCGCTTCTCTGAATACCCCGACTGAATAGGGGGCCTAAATGCTTTCAGTGGTTCCTCTTTGAAACACTTTTTGTCTGGCTTTTCTAGATCCATCCTCCTAAAATCTGTAAAGCATGTGGCCCGCCTAGAATACTTTCAAGGCTCCTAGTCTCCTTTTGAATCTGGCCTTTCATTAAATATCTCCAGTGATTTGGTCCCCGTGACCTCGCTGGAGCAGTCGTGTCCAACATCAGAGACTGGGAGAGCCCAGAAAAGGAATTATTCCCCGCTCTCTGCCTGGGAGCCGGGCCACCGAGGCGCTGTGGGGTGGGTGTGGTAGACTCGGGATCCCGCACGCTGGGGAAACCAATCCCAGGCCTGGGGAAGTGGGTGGTTTCCAGGCGGGAGAGGGAGTGGCCCTTCCCGCTGAGCTACTGGATTGGCCCGGAGGGCGGGAGGCCCCGGGCGCTCCCGGCGGCTCCTCGGGGCCCCGCGGGCGGGTCCTGGCCCGGGGCGGGGGACCGGCGGAACCCGGTCCCTGCGCTGCCCCGGCCGGCGGGCTCGCCGGTGGCCGCGCTCTCCGGGAGGGCGGGGCTCCTCGCCGCCTGCGGGTGGCCGCACACCCGCCACACCTTGTAATCCCGTGTGTGTCTCCGCAGGCACCGACCGCCACGAGCTCACTTCCTGGAAGAGCTTCCCGTCCATCTTCAAGTTCTTCGCGGAAGCGTCGGAGGCCAAGAGCAGCTCGCAGAAGCCCGCCCTGACGCGGCGCTCGCACCGGATCAAGCACGAGGAGCTGTGAGCTCGCCGCCGCCCGAGCGCCCGCAGCCTCCCGGCCCCCATTAGATTGCTTTCTTCCTCCAGCACAGGGTCTCGATACGTTCGTCTAAATAGCGTTTTGCATTATTTCTAGATGAGTGCAACTGTCAAAGCAATATGGACTCGCGGCCCGTCTCCTGCGGGCTGAGCCCGGCTTGGCGCAGGGGTCTGCAGGCGGCCGAGCGCGGCTGGGTGCGCCGAGCCCGGCTTCGAACCGCCCCGGGGAGCCGCGGGCGCTGCAGCCCAGCGGCGTCTGCGCGGTCCTACCGCCCGCTGCAGGGCGGCCGCTACTGCCCAGCCTCAACCGGGCCCGTTTTTACTCCCCCTTAAACCTAGCAAGCTTTTATTCTAGACTTCAAACTTTCCTTTTAACCAGGTTTTTCCCTCGGGTCATCTGATGAGCTCCTCTCTTTTTAGAAGGCCACACACCGGGGTCCTAGAAATGCCAACTTTAAATTGAGAACATGAATACCATGATGAATTTGGGGGAGTACAAATTGTTCTCTCTTGTAATGACTGATTTCCATTTCAAGACTGAAAGAAAAACTTTGAATAAAAATTCATAAAGTACTGAATCCGAGTCCTTTTCTCCGGACATTCCTGCTTAGTTGAACCAGAGTCTTTATGTCTCTGACTTGAGGAGAGAGCGTTCGAATGAAAACGTAAGCAGGTATTTTAGATGCAGGTATAAGGCCCCATTTTCAGTGAAATTTCTAACTTATGAAAACTGACCCTACTGTTAATATGTAACATGGGGAGAGGCATTTAGGTGACACACTCAAGGCTTGCTCTCTCTACTCCCATGTGGAGTTTTGGTGGTAGTTACTAATCCGTGCTGAGTGTGCTTGGACCTTTCTTGTAGTAAACCCTTGTGGTTACACCATTTATTTTTTACTGTCATCAAGAAAATGAAACTGCATACCCTTGTCCTTCTGAAAGGCTATGTAAAGTTAAAATGTTTCAGTTTTCATCTACAATAGGAAACGAGAATGATTTTCTCTTTTAGGTCCAAAATTTTTAGTGTTCCACTTCTTCTGATAGGGTTTTGCCATATAATCCAACAGTTAGGTCCTTTAACCCAACTGGGATCTGGCCAGCACGGTGAAATACAGAAGATAAAATAGGTTGACATTTTACTGGCTTTTAAATTAAAACATTAAACATTAATTACTTGAAGAATTTAATTAGTGAAGATTATATCCAGTGGGTGAGATTGTAAATTTAATACTTCCAATCCTTTCTTAAGTAAATTCAACAAGTAATGTGCCTGCCTCGTTTGAGAACATGGAAAAGTATATCCAAAATGAAACCGAGGTACTGTCTAATGCCTCAGAAGAAAACCTGGACTCAGCAAGCTTATGGAGAATTTCTTTAATATTATGAACTGATTTCAGCAAGTTTTAAAACTGGTAATATCTCCTGTTCCTTAGCATCTACATGCGTTCAATAGTTCTGTGTTCTGAGTGCCGGTGAAGTAACGTGGCTGTGGCCATGTCTGGTCATCTTCTGATATTACTTGAGCAGAAACAACTTAAGAGGAAAATCAAAATGGCATTTTACCCCCAGCTCCTGGGTGGTTTAAAATGTGTTAATCCAACAATGTCAAGCACATTGCTCTGTCATTGTCGCCCTTGACATTTCTAATTTTAGAAGGATTGGTGAGCTCAAAAAAAAAAAAAGATAGCTTCCCAATGGCTAGGTTTGGAAAATTGGTGTGGATTGAATGTTATAAATTGTCTGGTGTTTTAGTATATAAAAATATTCACTAATTTTGTGACATTAAGACAAAAGCCAGCACTTATACAGGAATAAATTTGTGAAGGTTCTGCAGCTGAATTAAAGCAAAGTAAATGTGCTCAGCTTATGAACCAAAGGACTCCTGGTCCTTCCCTCCAGATCCCTCACTTGTACAGAGAGTGTCATTGATTTCTTATGATGACTATTTTATAATCACTGAATTGTAACCTTGTTATCTGTCTGGTAGAGAGCTATTTACAGAGTTATATTTTGTAAATGTCTGTTACTGCTTGTGGATCTGCATTGTAGCAACCCACAGGGAGCCAGGCAAGCACTCCAGAGATAAGTGACTCCTTATAGCATAGGATTTCGTAACCTGTTGATTGGGATGCTGTTGGTGTATGTGTAATGATACTGTTCACCTCGGTTTTCTTGGGCTAACAACAAGCAGTTGACAGTACCCCACCTGCAGAGGGGTGGCCAGTGTTAATATTTCTTCTCTGGTCTTCTCCCTGTTATCTCCTTAAAAAGATTCTGGGCATGGGGTGGTATAAAGGTAGGCTGTGGGCTTTTTTTTTTTTTCTTCTTTAACTATATACTTAGTTCTTAGAGTAAATAGATTGAGAAAGACATAAATTGGAGATTCAGAATAGTCCTGCTGAAGCTTCGGTGCCGGGCAGCTGCTTTGGAGCTTTCTAAAGGGACCTAACATGCAGTCCTTGAAAGTCATGCTGGATATTTGAAAGACCATCTACTTGTAATAATGTTCTTTTCTCAAATTTCTACCTTGTGCTTCCTGGAATGCATTTCTGTTTATATGTCAAAAATAAATAAATAAAGCATAGGAGTTTCCTATAATCTCTTTTCTGTTAACATTTTAAAATAAAAAAGGTTTTTCCCACAAGCAACTGTGTGTGTTAATTCCTCCTCAGAAGTTCTTTTTTCATCACCTGCACAGGGGCTTTCAAAGCTGAGACCTAAAGAAAGTGATTGGACCATATGCATGAATATTAAGCTCATAGCTATGATTCTTACTGTTGCTGTTGCTGTGAGCAATGTCTAACTTAGCTGAGTCTCTACTTGGCTCACATATATCGTAAAGATAACATTTTAGTCAAATGTTTTTAATATATAAGGAAATTAGAACAACTTGTCTACGGAATGATTTATAAAATAGCCATTGATATACAGTAAATATGTTTTTCAAAGGGAGCCTGGTAAGATTCAGTTGCTCCCAAACTGCTGATGGTCAGACCTTGATGACGTGTGCTCGGTCCATAACTGAGTTGTGCACATTTCTGTTACAGTTATTCCTTCTGAAACCTTTCTCTCCTGTGAGGGGGTTTGGGTGACAGAGTGTGTTAACTAAATTAGCACTGCTAATTTACAACTAGATTTTTTTCATGTTTCTCTGTATTGCAGAGTTCCAGTCCAAACATGTATGGTATAATCATTGTTTAGACTGTTAACTGATAGGCTCCTGTTGAAAGCAGTACTCCAAATTCACTTAAGAAAAATTACTATTAAGTAACTTTCACAGTATAAAATTTCACAGTCTAAATTTTTTGGAAAATTTTCTCATGTCTTGTGGGGAGAGGCTAAAAATTAAACACGAGGCATTCATATACTTGAAATATGGGTGGCAGAGGGGGTATAATTGTGATACTTATATACCCTCTGGCATAATATAAAAGACTCTAACATAACCCTTTCAAAAAATGTTATACTTTCCTTCCTTCCCTGTATAGAATGTCTGAGCAGTAGTCTCTTGAATTGTTCATCTCTTTATCTAATATTCTATTAATCTCAAAAAGTGATCAGTTTGAATCTGGGAAAGGGATTTTAATCAACACTTCACAGAGCTTAAAGCTACCCCACCTAAAGCATTGGCTTTGTGCGGTGGTTTTAGATTTAAGCCATTGTAGCTGCTGTGCACTGTACTCGGAAAATGTACACCTACTAGAGGATGCTGGAAGGGTGGCACAAGATGCATTAAGAGAGGTCCACGAATAGAAACAGTTATTGAAGCATCCCAGCATTTATCTGGAAGTCTGCATTTTTAAACAGCAAAGATAATTTTTAAACCTCACCCTTAGAAGGGATGGATGTTGATTTAATTGATTCCTTTGGATCAATGTTTTTAAAGTTTCACACCACTGCTTTCATGAAGTGATGTCTTTAGCAGTCAGTGGTTTGACATGAGACTTCTCAGATTTCATCAGTGGGACCCTCCATGACATCTAAAACTATGCAACAGCCTGTGTGATGGTAACTTTGGGACTGGGAGATCTCAAGGCTAATGTGACTGGTAGAATGAAGAATTCTTATTAATTCTCGGTGTAAAGATTTTATAGGAATAATAATGGAAAATGAAGCACAAAAGCTTACCATTTGCCATTTAGAGAAAGCTGTCCTGAAGATTTGGTCAATAACTGGACATCATTGAGTGGCCAGTATTTCCCTGTGGATGTAAAACTTAGAAGATGAACATTTGACTTAATCCATGATATCTTTTCAGGCAACTTTTCTTGGACCCTTGCCTTGAAGTTTGTGGAAAACCTTTCACTATACTCTTTGTATCATTGGAATTGAACTTTTTTAAAATAGCTATGAAACATGTTTCTAGGAAGAAATGTATGAAGGTCATGCACCTGTCTGTCCAGATCATCATTCAGCTTTTCCTTCCATAGCTGTTACATTGGGTGACGTGCAAAATTGTCATAGGGAAAATGATATTGAACTTACTCTGTGACCAAAACAAAGAATCTGAAGTGAAAAACAGCCAACACCCCAAGAACGATATGTCTCCCTTAAAGTTTACAATTTGAATAATGAACTCAGATGGAAAGTTGGCAGGAAAGCAAACCACGGCACCGTCACATCACAAACCATTTTCACTTTTCTGTCCAATTTCAGAGTGCATGTGTTTGTGAGTATTTCACTAGATCAGTGACAGCTCTTTATTTGCATAATTATATGCTCTGGTCTGAAGAGAAAACTAACCCCCAAATTTCATGGGTCACCAGACTGCAACAATCAATGTTTTATCACGTATGCGAAGCAAAATCTAAGAAGCTATATGAAGTTTCTTGGGGAGTTTTTACTCCTCAGAAAATTAAAGAGTTTTCCTCTCCTGAATAGATTCAAAATCTTTCCAAGTTCTTTGTAACAGAATTCTGTTTGAAGGCAAAACCAGAGATTAACATGTAGATGTGATTGTAGACTCACAAACATTGCTTCAAAGTGGTTTAAGAAGAATAGCATTTTTGCTGCACTAAAATTAAAATTCTTCATACTATGAGAAAAAAGTATTGGTCAAATTATGATTTGCCAAAATGAAGTCCAAATTAATTACCATTGAATATGAAGTTCATTTCCTTTCTTAAAATACCTCAGGTTTTTTTAAGACCAAATAGAAAAAAGTTATGTGCATATATACATATATATGTCTCACTTATACATAGCATTGTATGTAGTACTTATGTCCATTCCTGTTCATTTCAACTGAAATCTACAGACAACATATATAATATGTGTATGTCTATTCAGTGCCTGTAACATAGTAGGTGCTCTGTATGTGCTGGTCTCCATGAAACTTTGTTGTTGTTTTGTTTTTTTTATGAAATAGACTTTTCATGCTCAAAATCTTCCAGGCATTGCAATAAATATTTTTAAGTGCTTCAAACTTGTTTTGCATCTGCAAATCTCCACTGATATGCAATATGTACGTGTGTGTGTGTGTGTAAGGTTGGCTTTATTTCATTAAAGAAAATTGATTTAAACTGCTAATGTCTATAGTTTGCAGGCACTCTGCCAATTTTGGAATACAAAAGAGCATAGAGACACATGCAGACCATGGCTTGTTGCTGTTGTTTTATGGCGTTATTAAAATCCTGGAAAATCTGTCTCTACCTAGTTTCTTAAGGAGCACAAGGTGGGAAGTGCACTTTTGTAAAAGCACTGGAATGTGAACTTCATTCAAAGTTTCTGCAGACAACATGCTAGAATGAAGAAAAGGGAGGCACTGGGGAAACTAAGAGTGGCATGGTCCCAAGTATCTTGTTCCATCTGAAGACTGAGAGGTCTGTAGAGTTGGGTGTCAGAAATTTCCTAAAATATTGCTATTATTTCAATGAAAGGCAAACTCCTTCCCTCAAGTTTTAAAGTTGAATTATGATTGAAAGCTATTTTCTGGTTCTCATCATCTGAGAAACCAAACCTCTGCTTGTCAAGATCACTCCCAGTGAGACTGTCACCTTTGTAGCGGTCCTACTGAGATGATGCTCATACCTTCTGACGCCCTCCCTGGAGTTTCTGTCCTGACTGAAGGCCTGGGATTCCTCCAGGTGGAAACTCCTCAAAAGGAATTCTGTAAAAACCAATAAATCCAAGTTTAGAATTTTATCCAAATAGAACTAGAGGATAGAAAACTATTCTTCTGGGTCAGATAAAAGGCATTTCATTTTTAAGGGAAAAACACTTCTAAGAAAAATAATAGACAATATTTATAGCTACCTTTTTTTCTATGTTACCTTTGTGAGGACATTGCTTAAGCATCAGATGCGGCTCTTCCAAGAATGGAGAAAAGTCTGTTATTTCCCACTCACTTCTACACGAGGGGAAGACCAGTGTCTCCCTCTTCTATCATGTACAATGATGTTTGTTCAAATACCACCTAATTCTTACACTATCTGAAAGGTTGCCCCGACCCCCTTCTCCTCACATACCTCCTAGTAATCTTTCAAAAGCTTTCCATCTTTTAAAAATCATACTTAAATAAGTGTTCTTTCAAATAAATGTGTAGCTTTCCTGTATTGTCAACTGGAGAAATATCATCATGGTGTGTTGAGGTGGTGTGGTGTTTTCCACACCCCTGGAGCCCACCTCTTTTGCTCTTGCTTTGCTTCAGTAAGTTACTTAATATCATCCCCTGGAATAACCAGCTCTAAAAATAACAGTAGTTCAGAATGACATGATTTGGCTTTCATGCAGTTTTGAAAGAAAACCATTAAAATTGCATTGATCTCACAAATATTGATCTAGTGCTTGATATCAAATATCAAATGAGATGCTGTCAGTTGCTGCTGATCACTGTGTCAGCTGTTTGAATTCATGTCCTCTTCCTTCTTCATTGCCACGTGATTCAAGTTGCTGAGGATACATAGATTTTAATGATTAAAACAATTAATGTCAATTCTTTTCCTGTTACTCACAATTCTGGCTTTACTAAACATAGTGAATGATCTATCTGTGATATCGTGTGTAGAGTGCTTTTCAACAATATGGCTTATTACTGGATAGCTTACATTTCTATTTACAGTCCTTTACCTTAATATTGAAATTATTTCTATCTGATTCCTGCTTTCTTTCTGATTACCAGCCTTTTTTTTAAAAAAATCAAGATTGTTTGCTTTTGAGTAATGCAATCAAAAGTATGCTTTACAACACAGAATGAATTCTTAGCCATACACTACAACATGTAAGTCTTTCCTTTTATTCTTGTTGATGAAAATAAAACTACAGTAGTTCCCAAATGCAAAATTCAAAGAAGTATTTAGGTGAAAAAATATCTTTCTCAATAAAATGTGATCTAGCAGGTTTAAGCCACCCTCGGCTTCATCTTTCCCTAGCACTCTGGAAATAGCTAACTATCCTATCCTTGGATATATTTAGAGTCTCAAGGCATACTTTTTCTTTTTTCTTTCCTCTTTATTTTTTACATCAGCAATTACTGATTACATACTTTGATATCTGATACACTTGAAGGAGGAAAACACCTTACAACAACGACCAGTTAACACTGCTGTCTACACTGTAATGACCCAGAAATAAAAGTAGGACCTGCCTAGATTGTTTTTAATTGTACTGCCTCACTCGTGTTTTTCACATTCCTGTGAGCTGGTG